GAAAGAGAGGGGTCTTTTGATAGCCAGCCCCAAACTTACAATACCCTTCCTGCAGAGATTTGATCAGCCCCATCCTTCCTGAGCTTCAAGAAAGCCATCAAAACTACTTGTCTGTCTGGAACAGGAATGCTTTGATTGGCAGTGAGATTGAAAGCACCCTATTGTTATTCATTGGCTTTATTTTTTTATTTTGGTACTTTTCATACTTTTAGGTGTTTTTGCATCATTTGTCTTTTTTATTTATTTTACATTGTTAGCTGCCTAGAACAGAGAGAAATTATTCAGATACTTTTTAAATAATGTATACAGTTAACAGGATGTCTACAGAAACAGAACTGAAGGTGGATAGGGGGTGTATGCATGCGGCACTCCCAAAGGGAAGAAATTGTAGGCATCCCTTTCTCAATCTATAGTAAAACAAAAGTGGAATGGCCCAAGCTGTTTGGCATTTTGCAAGCTGTCTCATCCCATGTCGAAGGAGGGAAATAGAATGGGGATCTTGAGAATTTACTATTATTCTAATATCAATATTCTGCACTTAAATTTGAAACATATTGACCCTCTGGGATCAAGCCAGTTCAAAGAGTAGTGCATTCAATTCTAAGCATAAACATTCAATAAGTGGATATATGAAATGAATATCTGATTTGGCTACAAACACTTGTATTTGTTTCCAAGCTTAACAGGGCAAATAGTCATTATTTAGATGATGTCCTGTTTGCAAGTATGAGAGCAGCCATATATTACAGCAGCACATTTCCAACCTTTTATCAATTAATTGAGGAACTGAGGGGATTTGTAATCCTAGAATTAAAAAAGTAATTGCAATAATGTTGTTTTATCAGACTTGTCAACTCAGGTACGCTTCAGATGTTTTACACTATTAAAACCCCATTATTACTGCCCACTAAAGGGCTCCAAATGGGTGATGGTTACTTTGCAATAAATGAGCCTAAATTCATGGCAAGGATAAAACTAAATGTATAATACGAATTCTACTTGTATGTAGATGTCTTGGATTAGAAAATGTTTGCATATCTTAGTCATCTTGTCCCTTGTAAGACTCTCATCTTCATACCAAAACCTAACAAAAATTGACTCCATGAAGGAACATCCCTAACTGTATCCCTTGAGAGGCCTGGATCCAAGTCAATGAACCTATGGACCCATACAAAGATCTTTTACTTCTCTACATTCAAAAAAAATCAGTAAATAATACTTTCAATTAATAATGTGTTTCAACAGAATCCTTTATGTAGCTACATAAATTTTTATAAGCATTGTTTGTGTCAACAAAAATTATATATTCATTTTCTGTCATACAGAATTTGCCCCCCCCCGCAAAAAAAATTCTGGCTACAAATACTAAGAGCTATAGACACAACAAATCTAGAGAATGCCAAATTATACAAAGCTGGTTCACAGTCCTGATAATTTTCACATTCCTAGGCTGCTTGTCAGAAGTCAATTAAAATATATTTTAATGTTTATACATGAAATGTCATCCATATAAACGGTATGAAATACATATCTTTCAGTAGAATAATTTCTTGCAAGTATTTTCAGAGAGTTGTGGTCTTAATAATGTGTAATTTTGCTACGGATGTCAAGAAAGAGACATAGAAGATCAAATTGAATATTTTAATTATTTTGTATTCTGTACCTTCAGCACTCAAATGCTCTCAGGAAGAAGGCTAAGAAGTAAAGGTAGAATGCTTAGCAAACAAAACATGGAAAAAGCAAAACAGAAACACAGCAGCATATCTTTAAAAATCAAGGAAAGATAGTTTTAGCAGCTGTATTCTGAAGTAAACAACTATGAATCTATTCTTAACCATCACTGCAAGCATATTATACAAGCTCAGTGCAAAAGATTTTGTAGTTACACATTTATGATAAGTACAAATACGCAAAAGGAACAGCGTACACATTTTTGTTTCTTAAAAACTGTAGTTCTATTCAGTTACGTATTTTTTACAAGTCTTAATATTCATATAAGAATTTTATAAATACATCTCTTTATAAGATTGCAACCATCAAAACAGCAGGACCAGCATAATTTCTGATAAACAGAAAAGTTAGTGCAAACCATTTGGTAAATCATTCCTAAACATAATTGTTTTTAATTTCAATTGTCAACTAAGACTCAAACTATACTTAAAAGAATTCTCAATCCTTATCTTATCCCCATTGTTTCCACTTGTGCAAGAGACAATACACCCACTTGGTTGAAATAAATGTTTCAATGTTTTAAAATAGCATTCCTCATAACAACAAAATATCTTATTCTGCATTTTAAAATGCAAGCCATCTTTTACTGTAAATCCCTGTATATATATTTGTTCACTTTGGAATCACTGTTCTACTATTTATTTTCATGATTGGATCATAATATTGCTGTGACTGATCAACAAATGACAATCACTCACTTACCATTTTTTGTTGGATGACCTTGAGTAAGTTACTAACTCATTATAAAATGTGTTATTTGTGTGCATTATTTTTATTCCATGGGGAAAGGAAGGATATAATTATCTGTATTGCCATGTTAGCATTTTTCTATGTTTCCAGCCATTTTCTTTTAACCAATATTTTTTTAAAAACAACAACCCATTTTTATATTGATTGATCCAACTCTTAGGAACAAACTTATTTTCATGCTCTCTTTTCCCCAGGCAATTTAGTAGATTAGTTTATATTGTTTCTCTCTTATAATTGTGTGTTTACTAGTTTAGGGTTTTGCTTAAAATATTTTGTTTACAATGCTAAGAAAATTTATTTATACAGCCACTTCAGACATACCTTCTTCCAATAGCATCCTTGAGAGTAATATTAAGAAGATAGACAGTTGCTATTATAAATAGTTCAGCCAGTAGATAACATCCAGGATACACTGGCAGGGAGGAGTTTTAAATAGACAATCAAGTAGGAGGAAAATAAATTTAAAAAACTGATTATACTCAAGCAATCCACAACCAGTATTCTGCTGTATTGACAAGCTTCTGACAGGCCAAATGTTGCCTAACCAACAAATAGTGTTCTCTTCCAAGTTTAGCATCCTTATGTGGAAAAGCTAGAGATACTAGGTTTGCAGAACTGAAAAAGACTTTTGCTAGTTAGAAGAACAAGAGTTTTCTATACAGATAGTCCTCAATTTGCAACCATTTGTTCAGCGACCATTTAGAGTTATGGCCACGCTAATGAAAGAACTGATGACTGGTCCCTTAAGATATGACCATTGCAGTGCCTCCATGATCATGTGATCAAAATTTGGCACTTGCCAGCCTGCTCACACTTATAACTGCAGAAATGCTTCAACTCCCTACCTGCTTATTCCCCCCTCCCCCCGCTCTATTCCCTTTCAGGTCCTGGCACTCCACAGCTCCTGCTGCCCCAGCTGATCTTTGCCATTTTCATACTCCTGCTGCTGACCAAGTATGCCTGCCCTTGCCCTTTGCAAGGCAGCTGCTGTTTGAACAAGGTTTTCTTCTCCAAATCACACATGGCAGTCTCTTCATGAGGCCTAGGGAAGAAGGTTATACATGGCCAGCAGCTGTCTCACAAAAGGCCAGGGCAGGCACACCTCACCAGCAGTGGAAACAAGAAGACAGCAAAGGCCAGTGGAGCAAGTAAGGGTCTCTGAGAAAAGGGTGTGGTGTGGGCGACTTAGCTAGAAAGGTTGCAGCTTTGAACTGCACTGCACGAGCAGGCTGGACTTTGCACTACAAAGGGTTTTGCACTGCCCTGTGGCTCAGGACTTTCTTTGAATCTTAGAGGTGTGATGCACCTTTAAGTCCCTTTGCACCAAGCTGCTGGGCTGTGGTGGTTGTGGCTTCCGAAGGTGGCTGTGCTGGGGCTCGGCATCTTCTGTGCTGAGCTGTGTAGGGGAATTGAAGGGGCAGTAGTCCTTTACCTTGGCAAAAATGAGGCTCAGGAGTTGGAGGGACCAAGCCAGAAAGGCTTGAATTGGGATGGATCCTTAGGTAACAACTGATGGAATTCAGTTAACAGGGAGTGGCAGGATTGCCATAGCTAAATGATGCAGTCATGTAATATTATACTTTATGGCCCCATAACTTAGTGCTAGAAATTCTGTCCCAATTGTGAATGTAACTGAAGGATTATCTTCATCGTCGTTTTAATTTTTGTAACCAAGCTACAATAGCCCTATATACATCAATAATGGAAGTATTGTGTTTCTTTTCTTATACTATATACATATACTCATGCTAATTTTGATAGGCTCCAAATCCACATAAAGACCAAGTTTCTCCATTGTGCTAAGTTTAATCAATATAGAACAAACCACAACCAGCTTTATAATGGACATGAATCACACACTATATTTAAAAGTCACAATGCCTGGTTTAGTACCTGCTAAACCAAAAAATGCCCAGTTTAGTACCTGCTAAACCAAATCTAGCCTGCTTTAGAAAACAGTCTAAGGGAAAAAATGAAGTTAATGGATGTTGTTTATAAGGTCTGCAAGATCAGTTAAAGGATGAGATTATGGAAGAAGGTACAGACTTTTTTTTAAAAAAGTAGGTTTTCCCTTTTGCCGATAATGGTTTCTATTTGCATCATGAATGTAAAATCCAGAAGTTACTTTAAACCAATCTTTTGTCCTTAGATGAAATATACAAGCTACTCAGGTAAAATACAGACTTAAATAAAAACTAAAAGCTGAAGATGAGAAATAATCAGAGAAAAAACAATCAGTAGAAACTTTACCTGGGTGGAAAAGATATTCTCTGACAAAATGAAGTTTTAGTTACATATGCCCATCTCTAGCTTAGGTTCCTATTGCTAAGAGTCACAATCATTATTTCCCAGGTCACATAAAACACAACCATCATAACCACAGTAAAAAAAAATCTGAAATCTAAGTTGCAGCAGTACCTTTTATTAATGGTTGGCAGACAAGGCCATATATTGATTGAAACAGCAGAGGTTGTAATGTCCTGCATTTTGATTGATAAATAAGTCAACCACATGGTTTATAGTCTTTCAGGACTCCTCATGCCTCTTACCAGCTCATTCTGCCTACCTGTGAATCCAGCATGCACAATATTAAAATGTACATAATGTCACAGGAAGGCAGACATGGCCCCAACCATTACTTTGCTGACTAAAAAGTTGTGTGGAATTTCATATGGAAGCGAAGTTCTTCTGCCTCTAGGAATGTTTTACCACATAGTGTACATGTACAGCCTTTGCCTTTCGTACTATGCGTGCGTCGCACATGGCTATCATGGGCAGCGTGTGAAGCAAACACTTTACCGCAGTGCTTACACTTGAAGGGCTTCTCTCCTGAATGTTGGCGGATGTGAGTACGCAGGATGCTGGAAGCGGTAAAGGCCTGCAGAGATCAAGGGAATGGATAAGAAAGTAATTAGATCCCAGAAACAAAATGCCAGAAACATGAATTCTGTAATAATCAGGGGGGCCTCTCAGTAATTGCGATATTCATAATTGTGGGGACTCTTAATCTCATGCTTATGAATTAAAACTGCTCCTTAATTCAATAGTTTAGTTGTAGTATCCTTGCCACCAACTGAAGAAAAGCAGCTGCCGTGTTTTCCCGAAAATAATACCCTACCAGAAAATAAGCCCTAGCATGATTTTTCAGGATGCCTGAGCCCAAAAGCCCCAGGTAAGACCATCAGCCAGAGGGACGCATTTAGTACCGTATTTCCCCAAATATAAGCCGTAACAAGAAAATGAGTTCTAATGCATCTTTTGGAGCAAAAATTAATATAAGACCCGGTCTTATTTGGGGGGAAATACAGTAGTAGGGCAAATTCAGAATGGTTCCACAAGTACAGCATTCTTGTGAAAGATGATCCAAATGGCTAACTGAGGGAACCAAACATTCTAATTTATAAAAAAATGAAATATTGCAAGAGAATTGCAAGAAACACCTCACCTTGTTGCAGTATACACATTTATACGGTCGTTCTCCAGAATGCACTCTCGTGTGCTTGTTTAGACTAGAGGACTGAGAGAAACTTTTACCACACACAGAGCACTAAAATAAGAAAAAAATATCTAATCATTATGTAACGATAGAAGCAGTTAGATCCCATTCTGGTAGGACATAGAAATGTGTAAACATTCATATTATGCAGGTGAATTACCACACGTTAGAGCAGTCTGTCACTGTGTAACAACATACATGTGTGGCTCTGAACCTTTCAAAAATTATTTAGAAGAAGTGCTTCAGATATCCTTGGAGCAAACCATCTTTTGGGACTTCAGAATTTGAAAAAAAGGCATGACTACTCTATCCCTTTGGAGCATGTAAGCAAGGTCCCAGTAGGAGTAGGGTTAACACTGCAACATCACTTTCATTGGTCTGATACACATGGTGCAGACATTCCCAAGGAATATAATCATATTTCCCCAAATCATGCATATTAATACCTGGCACACAACTGTAGTCTTACTACACGACTTTTACAAATATGAACAGTTGTTTCCAACCATGTAGTTCTGAATTAGATTCAGAATGCCCTCTTGATAATTATTCTAGCATTGTTTATTTATCTGGAATACCTAATTGCCATCAAGGTACCAAAAACAATGTCTTTCTCTGTGATAAGAAAAAAAAAAACCTTTTCTCTTCTCTCTGCCCACTTTTGGTTAAGAAAATATGTCTGTGCTGCTATTTATAAGGAAGATTCACTGAATACAATGAAACTTCTAAATATATATGTCTTAAATTGAAACTGTCTTCATATGTATTTAAAAGTTATAGTAAGACAAGCAAAACTAATCATTTAGATTGTAACAATTTTAGACACTATGTATGATGGGGCATATGTGCAATTATTCTGTAAGATGCACATACAATTCATATATTTTTAAAAAACATATACAGGTTTGTTTCCAGACAATTTAATATCCTGTTGGCAAAATAGTTTTGCAAGACAGCTCATATCCTAAGTATGCCTCCTCAAATGTGTACCCCAATAAATTAAACTGCACTTACTTTCAACTAAGTATTTACTTGAATTGCAATCATATGTACTTCACAGAAAAACTAATCTAATACTTTCACTTAAGCTTCCATAGCATGAAATAAATTCTATCTATCCCAATGGAAGTTCTCATAAATCATTAAAATAAGATGCTTTAAAAAATATTGCACTTATTTCCTGCTTGGTCAGACAGTTTGAATTATTGAAAATCTACTCAGAATGTTAAACCTATAATCCAGTGGTGGCGAACCTATGGCACGGGTGCCAGAGGCGGCACTCAGAGCCCTCTCTCTGGGCATGCGTGCCGTCGCCACAGTCCTAGGCCTTCAGCTGGGTTTTATAAAACCTTTTCGCTTTAGGCCTCTGCCACCATGTGCAAAAAAAAAAAAAAAGTTCAATCAGTCAATTTCAACTTCTCAGGGGGGAAAAAAAAGATCTTGCAAAGTTGGAATTGATTGATTGAACTTTTTAGTCCCACCCAGTCTGCCGTTACCACCGCAGCCACGCCCACCCAACTGGCCACACCCACCTGGCACTTGACAATCCATAAGTGGGTTTTGGGTTTCAGTTTGAGCACTCAGTCTCTAAAAGGTTCGCCATCACTGCTATAATCTATTAATTTCTTTTAAAGCCTCACTTTTTGGAAATAAATGTGCTTTAAAAATGAAGAAATCATTTTAGAGGCTTAGTTTATTTGCACTGTGCTCCTAACAGGCTAAGGCCTCCCAGGAGATGATGCACAGGTGGTGGTGATAAATGCCTTTCTGAGGAAGAAGGCAGTGCTTCAGTCCATTATGGCAGCTATGGTTTCCCCCCTTCTTAAGAGGCCATTGCTTGTTCCCACCCCACATGAAGAATTTTCATCCTGACTCCAACCTTCCTTTTTGGGGGAAGTTGGTTGTGAAGGTGGTTGTGCTGCGGTTCCAAAGGATCCTGAATGAATCCCTTTCACTTGGGATTCAGGCATGGATATGGGATGGAAACGGCACTGGTTGCACTTTTTGATGATCTCTGGTAAGACTGAGATGGTGGTAGACATCTATCTATTCTCACTTTTTCAGCAGTTTTTTATACTATCAACCATGCTGTTCTTCTGGAATGGTTCCAAGGGCTGGAGGGCACTGTATTGTCCTGGTTCACTTCCTTTTTCTAAGGCCATTATTGGTGCTGATGAGGAGCAACCAATCTGACCCCCACCCCCCCCGAGTCCTGCCTTTCAGGATCCCTCAAGGGTTGGTATTTTCTCCATTCCTATTTAACATCTATATGAAACCTCTGGAGGAGACCACCTGTCACCATGAAGTGTGAGATATCATCAGTATGCTGATTGTACATGTTTGGGCAGAACTCTGGACAACCACTAGATGACAGGATGGAGATTTCAGCCATCAATAGGTTTCTTGATTTTTGTAACCCAAGTCTAGTAACATTCAGGATTCCTAGATGAAAGCAGACAAGGTGCTGAATGTCTAGCTCTGTTGGTTGAACCTTCTCAGCTCAAACTAGCAAGAGAGTCACCAACATTCTTTTCTTGGTCTCCGTCAATAAAATAATGACCAAAATTTAGAAGACTACTTCTTACACACATGTACTTATAAGCTACTAAAATTAGAGACAGTATGACTTGCGATAAAGTCAAAGCATAAGGTAAAATTATAAATACAGACTACAAGAAATGGTAGTTGAGCTTCCACCTATCAGATTAGAAGCCTAGAACCATATTTACTCAGAAATAAATTTTATGGTAGTAGATTTTACTTCCAAGTTAAGATTGTGTACTGAATGCTTCTTGAGCATAATTCCAATAGAAAAATAGTACAGAGATACTATCTCTCTCCTATCTTATGCTAATGAAGAAATACCTATCCCAAATTCCAGTCCTAAATCCTGAGAAACTGAAACATGACACTCTGCTTATGCTTAATACCACTCTCCTCATCACTGCTGCTTCCACTGTTGTAAACAATGGAAGACTCCCCAGAGATTCTAGTATAATCATACCAAGAAACTGAATGCCTTACTTTATGAGGTCTGTGCTTCTCATGGACATGGAGAATGTGGATCCTCAGACGGTCCCGTTTTTCAAAAGATCGGTTGCAAAGATGACATGGGAATTTTCTGTTCCCTAGGTCCACACACCGTGTATACTTCAGATGTTTGTCCCGGTAGTATCTGTAGGCAAAGACTTTTTCACACCGTCCACATTCATAACCCTCCACAGATTCTACAAGGAAAGGAGGAAAAATCACCCTCAGAAGCTAAAGACAACTTAAAGTAAAAGACGTGAGCAGCAAGATTGTATTGTATAACAAAGGAAATGACTAGGGAAGGGCTAAATGAAAGATCTCTTACAACTACAGTGCTGGGGTTGCCAGTATTTTGATTGAAAACCAGCTATTTTTTTCCATTTTCTGAAAATATATTCTATGACAACATTCACTTTTAATGCTCACATGTTTTTGTCTCTGCAAACCAAGTGTGGCTACTGGACCCCTTTGAAAAACATTAGCCACACATAACATAGACACCAAAGAAGTAAACTCCTATCCCTTAACGTTTTTACAAATAAGGGACAAGGGAAGCCATGAGTAGTAGTGAGTTAAATGCAAAGTAAAACACTGAATCCTGAAGATTCATTTAAAAGTTGCCTTTTGAGGCAATATGTTTCAGCTCCTTAGGTTGGATTTCCTCAGTTCCTACATCCAGCTGGACTCTTGCTAAAGATTACAAAATAGTATGGTACTTTGAACGAAAAGGTAAGCCAAATATCCTATCCTACTGTTGTCATTATACTGCTGAATGTTAACAATACCAGAGGAAGAAGGAAACAAGTGACACTTCTTCCAGTTAAAACATTAAATACGCAGATGATGCTTCTTCTCCAGCAATCAAGAACTATGTTTGTGTCTCAACCCTGAGACCCTAACCCAACACTTCAGTCCTCAAGTTTTTCTTAGAAGGATCCTTGCTTTCAACTATAAACCTATAGCTCGATTGCTGGCCAAATCAAGACATTGCTTGCTTGCATAGGACACTATCCATAGTGAACTTAATGCTGATTTGTTCTAACTACTATTTTTTGTTTGCACAATTCCCTAAAAGATTCATGGGGGCTGGGCTCTCATAACATGTGATGGTCAAAAGACGTCTCACTGTTTGCAGTTTAACTGCTTACCAGCTATTCAGAGGGGAAAGGTTTGCAAACTGACCTTCACTATGCTGTGGGGTTCGCTTTTCTTCTGCTGTTCCTTTGAGGCTGATAGGGATTCCAAGAAACTGTGAGTAACAATCACCATACCAGACCAGCAGTTCTTGACCAGGTGTAATTTCTTTGCAGCTCTCATAATAGATCTCGCCTTGACACTGAAGGGTTGTCAGGTTTTGCTCCTCTGGGAAGCGGGCACAGTTCACTAATGACATCCAATTTCCAGAAGAGCCTCTGCCATCAATAAAATGACTCAATTGGCCATCTTCAAAAATCTGCAAAACAAACACACATCTGTAAATGCAGAAGTCCAGGCATTTCTTGGGCAAGGCTTTCACACATCTTGTTACCCAACATTGAACCAGTTTTCACTATTAGACAGTTGGATGGTTGACTTCAGACAAAGCAGAAGAGAGACTGAAACTTTGATATTCAGACTTAGAAGGTGGATATAATTATATATATGTTTTCTTGGGAAAATCCCTTGAGAATTTTTTTTTTTAAAAATCAACAAATAAATTCAGGGATGGATAGGCTGGTATCTAACCTGCATAGCTATACCATACTCAGCAGGCATGGGAGTGGGATGTATATTGTTTCTGTTCCTCCTTAAACCCTATACTACCTTTCAACTATTCTAAGACAGAAGGTGCAATTTCAAGTACCTCCCACATCAAAGAATTGTCGTCATAAGTTTTAATCTCGCTGGTGTTGACCACTTTGCCCTGGAAAGGACCAAACTGAATGCCCTTAAGGATGGTTTCTGTGCAGAAGACACCCAGCTGTGGACCATCAATAAATACAGTCTGCAACACAGTCAAACCTGGAGGGAAGAAACCAAGTTGGCAAGTCAAAGCAGAAACATCACCAATAAAGAATTCAGTGATGGACAGTAAACATTCTTCCCAAATAAACAAAAATGTACTACCTTTGGGAAGTTGCAGAGTTGATCTATCCAGCAGTGGGGGCTGACTGTCAGTATCACCTGAAAGAAAAGCAGTTATGATGAGGTTGACAGAGCTTTAAGAATAAGCAATAGGGTTTAAGAAGAATAAGCAAGTGTGCTCAAATAGAAAACTCAGCTAAACTAGAAATAATCCAAAATAAACTGCCATTAATTGCCATAATATAAATGGAGCAGCAGCTCTAGTTTATCTAGCCCACTTTAACTATCTCAGCTGAAATGCCTCTAAGATGAATCACAGTTCATCTCAGTTGCCACTGAACTCTTGTTTTTTTCTACAAAAACAACCTCTGGGTCTTGCAAAGAAGGGGACATATGGAAAAAGGATAAGACATCATTCAGAAAAAACATAAGGTTCTATTATGCCATCCTGGTTGGGAGTCAGGAAAGTTGTGAACCAATAGATCTGGAATGGATAAGTTAGATAAACCTATTTGGAGCCCATTTTATCTTTAAGATATTTATTGAAAATAATATTTCATGAAATTCCCCATCCAATATTTTGTTAACAAAAATATCAACGTCAAAATAAAACGCCAGAGCAATGAGACCAATGTAATTATAACTAGGACAATTAGCAGTTGCTGTATTCTAACATTGGGACTACTAATTTTTAAAAATCTACACTTTTTAAAGTTAAGGGCAGATCAGGTGTTTATTTATTTATTCCACTCCTAAACGCATCAGGAGTGCACAGAAACTACCCTCTTTAAACAGTTCCACTCTTCTCCATCTCCTCCCTTTTTAACCTCCTTCCTGCTGCAGAAAGGATTGAGCGGCTGCCGATACTCAGTAGTTCTCCTGCCAACCAGCATCCTTGATGCTTTGAATCGATGCTTCCTTTTGCCAGGAATCAGACAACTAACTGGAAAAAAACATTACCAACCAAGATCAAGGCAGGTTCGAGAACTCCTTAGGCACCAGACCAAAGGTTTGCTCAGCCTTTCGAGGAAGGGATCCAAAGTCAGGGGAAAGCAGCCTCTTACTAGAAGGGTAAGCTGTTTCCAACTATCCTCCTAGCGGAATTTCCACCCGCTTCCTCCCTCGCGATCCAGAGCATCTTTGAGCTTCAGCCCAGCTGATCAAGAGACCCATAAGTATCAGAAGAAACTTCCTGCGCGGTTTGGTTTAGCGGGGCTTAAGCTTAAAGAAACGCGCCAGTCCGTTCCCTCCTTTCCCAAAACGAGAAGTCCCCCCCCCCCAAAATAAGCCACACGTGGTACAATTTACAGAGGGCTATTTGAGCCAAGGAGCGTCTCTTTCAAACTCGCCCAAAGCAGAAGCGAGGCTTTGGGGTCGAGACTGGGCGGATCTGCCCGAAGACCCGCAGCCGAGAAAGCGGAGGGAGAGCCCGCCTCGGCCGCTCCCTTACCCGGACTGGGGCCCACCTGCCGAGAGGGCGCGCGGCTGCCTCCCGCCGGGCAGGGCGCCGTAGAGGACGGCATGGAGCTCCTGGGCCGTGAAGCGGTAGCTGGGCAGGCGCTGCTCCGAGTCCGGCGTCCCTTCGAGGCTCCTCTTTCTGGGCGAGGCTCTCTTCCCAGAGAAGGGCGCGGCCAGCACTGGCACAGGCCGGGGCAGCGGCGGCGGCCGGAGAAGAGGAAGGGTGGGAGGCGGAGGCGGAGGTGGCAGCGGCGGCCCCAGGTAAGTGGCGGGTAGCCGCTGGAAGGGGAAAGGCGGCAGCGGAGGCGAGCCCGGGCTCAGGCGCCCGGCAGCTGACGTCGGCGACTGGAAGACCACCGTCGGCCGAAGGGTGTCGAAGAAGAGCGGCGGGTGCAGAGCGGGGGCAAAGGAAGCGGCGCCGGTGGGGCAGCTGTGGAACAGCATGAACAAAGGCTCGCCGGCGCCCTCAGCCACGCCGGCCTCTTTGGAGGGCGCGGTCCCCGCCAACGACGAAGCCATAGCTGCCCGCCCGTCTGGAAAAGACGCGGCACCTGTGAGGCGGAGAAAAGGCAGAGCTGAGGCAGCGCGCTTCGGGGAGGGGCGGCCGAGGCCCGTAATCCCCGCCCAGAAGCCGAAGTGTCGGGCCAACCTGTCTGGCGGAAGAGCCGGGGTACCTCAGCGCTGGGCAGCCGGGCTAGACAGGCGTCGCCTGCTCACTTTGTGGCCTCCCGCCCACTTTTCTTGAAGGAGGGGGAGGGGGCAGCTTAGCCCGGAACCTTCCCGAACTTCCTTCAGAAGGTTGGACGACGATCCAATGGCCCTCAGCTCGGAAGCTGTGGGGGTGGGGGAGCACAGCCGTCCCCTTTTCCTGACTAGGAGCTGTTGGTGTCCTTTGGACGAATTAGACTGCAGCGGCCAACCCTGCCGTCGTTGGCCGTGTTGACTGAGATTGTTGGTCGCTATATCTCCATTCACGTGAAGGGCCGGAGAGGCAGAAAAGCTCCGGGTAGAGGGTGATTCTGATTCCCCGCCCGCTACATTGATGCGTTTGAGAGAGAAATACAGAGGCCGGTGTAAGTGTGGCCTCTTTCTGCCTCTCTGGCATCACTGGGGAAAACGCACCAGGAGCGATGAAAGGGGCGACCTGAGAAAGGTTGGACGGCAATAGATTTTATAGGGCCGCTATCCGTTACCCGTGAAAAGCCCTAAAAATTCACAATCCTCCTCACTTCCTTTTCAGAGGTTCTTACTGTCAGGTACGTGGGTGTAGGGCTTTAAACCAAATCTTCCCATTTTCCCCGAGAAAAAAAATAATTTCGTGGTTTGCTATACAATCGCCGTTGCGAGCGTACATGCACATGAATATGTGGATTTTATTCCTTGGGAAAGGGATATTGGACTGTAGCTTCGGTTAGTTTTAGAAAGATTTGTTTCCTCGACTGGTTTAATTCTTTTATGATTTCTTTATAGCTTTGCAATTATTAGACAGCTCTTAAAAGTACAATTCTAGAAGTACGAATAAGAACTTGGTTTTAATGATGAAACCGGCAATGAAATAATCCCCAACATAATTAAGATTTACTCAATGAGTAAATTGGATAGGATTACAGTGCAAACGTATTTCTTGGGGAGGGAGGTCCGTAACTGAACTACGTCAAACTTACAACCTTTTCCTCTTCTAAAGCCGTATTTCCATACATACCTATTTTGGACCAAGTTGCAATACAATTTACTCCCGAGTAAATTTGCCTATATAGCGGCTTAGCTGAAAACGATTTTGGGAACTTCCAATGCAATCTAATTCCTGCCTCCTCCCAAGCAAGGCGTGTTTTTTTGAATGAGTACTTCTGGCAGAAGGCGTCCTATAAGGACCATTAGAGGCTGTGTTTCCTCTACCGGCTTTTCTGCAGTGCCCAAGTTTTTCGTTCGCACGTGCTCTCTCTCGGCTGCTACAAGAAGGCTCTCCCCAGGGAAAACGGCCGCGAGGATGATTGTGCGGTCAGACCTTGGTGGGACGAGAGCTGCAGAGGATGGCAGAGAAAAGGTCGCCTTGCATAAGCAACTCATAAAGAATGCGCCTAATTCAGAAAACGAACAAGAGGGACTTAACGTAGTTTCCCCGCTACAATAAATCGCGTTTTTCCTTCAGCTCAGCTTGTTGCCTGCTGGGAAACTGCGGTCCTTAAACCGCAGCCCGCGGCTTACTTCGGGAATCCATTCACCCCTCCCGTAGCTAGAAGACCCAAAGCAAAGGGCGGAGGCTCGTGGAAGACACAGCGCCCCCCCCCCCGTGTAGAGCGGAGTCTGTATACCGCCGTCGGTTAGAGGCAGGGGTGGGTCTTTGCCAGCGCCCGAGGCGCCCCTCAACCCAATTCTGTTTCCAGGGCTCTCCGGGTCATTCTAAGCAGCTCAGCTTGCGTCGTCCACCAAGGGCGGCGGCGGCGGCAGCTAGGTCGGGCCCGGAGGCTTTCCTCTTCTGGAGGGGGAAGGGACGAAGCGTGACGGCGGGCTACAACTCCCCGTTGTAGCTTCGGCGCTCGCCAGGCTCACTTGCTACCCGGAACGTGGTGCTTCTTTGGCCGGCCCCTCGGCTGCGCGGCATAATCAGCAGCTGGACCCGAGAGGGAGCCGTGGGCTCTGCGTGGGCGACTAGCCCATCCATTACTCTTGCCCTTCTCTCGGGCCCGAGGTTCCAGAACGCCGCTTTTCGCAGCTACCTGCTGGCGGAGAGCAGGTGTCGCACAGCTCGGCTTCTGGCTTCCTCCGACGGGCTTATAGAGGTAAATCGTGGTTTCCGCAAATAATGTAGATTTTTAGGGCGCCGTGAACCATAAGTGGACTCAGTCTGGTGAGAGCGATGGAGTTAAGAGCGAGCCACTTGGGGTGCATATTTATCTCCGAGGGAGGGTGCAAGTGCCAGAAGCACAGAACAGACCCGGAGCATCCAAGCTGTGTTTGCACAAAACCGTGCACTCAAACTCTTTAACGACCCCGCTTAAAATCTGGCTGACTCGGCATCAAACGAGGCCTGGCTTGGAAACAATGCCTGGTTTACTCGATGGGCTTCCCGCCTCCCTCGGAATGTGGGAGCCCCATCCGGTCGGGAAATCACGACGCCCTGAAAATGCAAAGATTCGCTAATTGTCAAAAGAGTCAAGATGGCGGTTCAAATAAGGGAGGGGCTTCAATCTCAACTTGGTGGGCCGCCATCTTATCTTTTTCGACCGTACCTTGCAGGTACCCCTGAACCTGAATCTCGCTGTAAGAGACAAAGGTGAGGGATGATGCGGCAATTCCTTGTATAAAGTTAAGTTTCTTCCTTGGAGCAGAGCCCGAATGAAAAGTCGTTCTGCAGCGATTCTAGTTCCTGGATGATTATCTCGTGGTGGAGCTTACAACCGGTGGGGGTCGCATCCAAGATAGGCCCAGGCGTGATGCCGCTTAAGTCTCGGTCCCGACAAAGCCAGCCACATGCTGCCCCTTCCTGAAGCATCTGTTGCGCCCAAGCTTCGCAGTTTCGGGGGGCTAGGCCCCCTAAGTGGAGCCGTCTCTTGCAGAAGCTTGGAACAGCCCGCACTTTCTGCTAAGGCCACCCACGTGAGCCCCCAAACTCCGGACAACCGTGTCGTGGCAGCCTAGAGACGCCGCCCGCCCAGTCTTTGTTGTCCCCCGGGAGTTCTGCGGCGTAAATAAGCTCGCCCGATTTTCTGGCCAAGCGGCCCTAGAAAGAGCTGAAGGGAACAAACAGGCCGGTCGGCTCTTGGGCCTGGAAGCCTAGCGAGGCATCGAAACTTCCAGGCTGAGGGCTAAACGAGTGGACCGAATTGGAGGGGGCGCCCGTTTTCCTTCGGATTTCCAGTTGCATTGAGAAGATCCGTCCCGGGGCTCCTCCGAAGCAAAATAGGAGGAGCCGCGGGTGTCTCGGATTCCCACCTTGGCACTTTTCTATTATGGCAGGAGAAAACCGGCCGCGTGTTTCGACGGGCGTCCTTTGGCTCGGACGCGCGGTTCGTCCTCCCCCCCCCTTTCCCGGCCCTCGAATCCAACCGAGAGCATTTTAGGAGTTAGCAGTAGGAAATCGGAGAGAGGATTCATTTTGAAAATATCCAAAAATGCTTCTGTCGAAATGGATTGCTCCAAGTTGCATCCCTCCAACCTTCCTTCAAGTGATGGAAGGATTCGTCTTGGCGCGGGACTGTAGTTATTCGTCTACTACCATTTCGTCATTACTTAAGATCTTGCCTAGCGGTGTGGACAATTATGTTTTTATGTTGTGTTCGTAAACCTCTTTTGCTTACAAACCATTTCCTCCCGAGATTCTCCTTCGTGCTTGGAATAAATGCTGGCCATGAGAAAAGTGGGGGACGGGGGGGGGGAGAGAGGAGCTGTATCCACGGTCACAATCACCTAAACGCCTCCAATCGATATCAAGTGAACATTAACGAAAAGAATGAATCCACCCAGAAGGGGAAGGCTGTACATTTCCGAAGTTTGGATTCGATTAATGCTTGTTACCATTTGCCTAACCATGGTTGGCTAAGCGTCATATGCCTTGGTTCACGCCTCGTACCCAAAATATAAACCACGTTGGCCCGCAGGTCACGCGGAGTTCACACTATTTGGCGATACCAACATGAAAGTCCATTTTCTGCCTCAGTGCGACGAGTGAGCCCCGCTGAAGCGTTGATCAATTTCAGCCGCGTTTCTCTCCCGCCTCTTCTGAAAATGAACCGGCCAGAAAATTTCTCTCCATACAGAAATTTCCTCTAACGTTGGCCCTCCGTTAACGACTGGATCAGCTTTCTTTTGATTTTATGATGTTGGTCTCGGGCGGGGGGGAGAAGGTGAACGCTCGTGTTTCAGATTCCCACAAGCTAAGTAATAAGAATCGGCGGAAAGGAATTCTGCCCATCGAGAAGAGAATCCCCCGGGAGAAACCGGGCTGAAGATATGATAGTCCCCTTGGCTTGGGGAGGAGGGGGGCGTCAATGAAATATTAAATCTGACCTTCCCTTGGAGTTTGGTTAGACCAATCAGTTAAACCTTGATCTAGGACTATTTAAAGACTACCGTGTGAAAAAAAATAAAAAAGTGGGTGAAGGCAGAGGAGAAATAAAGACGGTGCTAATGTCTTCTTTTATTAACTGGGGAGTTGCAAGAATAATCTTCTGTAAGCCCATTAACAGCGCCGCCTTATGCAGAGAGGTTCAGAAGGAAATCCTATTGAGTTCCAAAGGATACATTCCCGGCAAAGTTATATTAGAATGACATTTTAAAATTAAGAAGGATGTAGCTTCCCACCAAAGTAATTCTTACATTATTTGCTCTCATTGATCAAATTATTTGATCAGACTCTGTAGCTTTTACAAATACAGAAATACAACGGAATATACTTCAAAACTACCTTACAAAGTTTTCCATAGGTACTCTGCATATATGCTTATATATTCAAATGAACTGCTTTTTGCTTATTCAAAGTCAAAGATCTTTACTGAATATCAAGCATGATTACTTGTACTATTTAGGATGCATTTAAAAAAATATTCAGGTTACACTCAGGCATTATACACAAAGGTGTTGTCAACAGGAATTTAAGTCCTTGTTAATGTATTAAAAATATACAGGGAAAATGGATTGACACGACAGGTGAGACTGCCACCTCATTAAATGTTGATGTTCAATCAAGCAATTAACAGAATAGCTACATTAAATTTTTTTGTATCTACATTTAGAAATCTTAAAACTGTTTCCAGAACACCTGGAAGTTTAACTCAATAGGTCACTTGAGAAAATTAGCTATTTTTTGAGGTGTTAGAATTATGCTTCCTCTTTCCTCCTCCTCCTCCTCAACTTGCATAACACTCTCTTCTCCTGATTCCCCCCTCCCAATAGCCCACTCTGGGGCTGGGAATAAGGGACTGGCCCATTTTTCCCAGCGGCTGTGAAGGGAGGTGAGTTAATTCTGGCTCAAGACCTGAAATACTAGGTTAAGGGCAGATTGTGGTAGAGAAAATCTAGTCACCAGGTGTCACCAGTGATTTAACACACAACGATTATCATCTCTCGTCTGGTCTTCCTCCAACACCAGTTCACATCAGTTCACACAATACCTTAAGCCATGGCTATGTTACCACTGTTTATGGAATAAACCCAGTTGATTTTTTAGTTCATATAACAGACTAAACAAGAAACAAGTAATTATATTTTGGCTGGTAATGTGAGCCAACTCGATCGAGAATATCTGAAAAATCTTAAGAGAAGAAGCTAGCCAACATCCAAGCCATCGGAAGCCTGCTCAGAGTTTGGTAAGTGTGGCTGAACCGCGATTTGCAAGTAAGTCACAACTAGCTAGGTTCACAGAACCTTTAAGCCGTACAACATGATTGACAATCGCGTTAACTGGGCTCACGCACGCAACGCGTCTCAAATAAACTACATTTGAGTCCGCTGAGTTGTATGAGAGTCGCACTCGCCTAAACCGAACAGCCCGCATAGCTGCGCTGGGATGAACGCTGACTTGCTCCTTTACTTTGATTTAGAAGCGAGTACAAAGGAAACGCCTTTTTAGGAGGATTACAAGCACCGGGAGTTAATAGCTGGGTTTTCGATCCCGCCCCAACCCCAAAGGACCGATTCTGGATCTGCTCTAGAGGGGAGTATTAGAAGCGACCGGAAAGTCCGCGGGAGCTCTACAGTTCTTTAGCATGGGGAAATCCCGAGGTTGCTGCTATGAGCCTCCAAAAATTAACTTCCTACCGTTATTCCTTCCGATGGTCCGTCTTCCTCAACGAATCTGGGAGTTCCAGGAAATTGAGGAACAATAAATGCAATGACTCCGGATGGGGTGGAGCAGGCTCGGAAAGGAAAGGGCGAATAAATGGCTTTGAAATTGCTCCGATGCTTAAATCTTTCCTGCACCTGACATGTTAACTAAGGCTGGTCATCCTGAAAAAAAAAAAAACTTCTAGAAAATTGAAAGATAGTTGCTTGCTTGCAGAAGGATACACGATGGGGACTTGTTTACTTGTTGATTTATAACCTGCCTTTATTTTGTACAACTTCAGACAGGAGACCTCAGGCGGCTCTCCACCTCTTTCTCCCTCAACAACAATCCTGCAATGTGGGTTGGGCTGAGACGGCCCCCAAGTTCTCTGTGCGGCTTTCGTGCCCAAGGGAGGACTGTCTCTTCTCTCTAGCGCCCTACTCGCTGCACTAAACTGGCTCTGTTGCTAATATGAGTAACTCATGTGTAAATATACACTGCACCCAAGGAAAAAGGTCTGTTGCAATTAAATGTATTTAGTCTGTAGTCCAGGGTCTTCAAACTTGGCCCTTTTATGACTTGTGGACTTCGACTCCCAGAGTTCCTCAGCCATGCTGGCTGAGGAATTCTGGGAGTCGAAGTCCACAAGTCATAAAAGGGCCAAGTTTGAAGACCCCTGCTGTAGTCAGATACTATTCTGCTGACTCTTGGCACTCTGAATACAGGCCCAGAGGTGATTTCTAAAAAGGGGAGCTTTTAAAAACAACTTTATTAGAGCCTTCACAAGGTATCATTATTAAGCTTCCCTTATTGTAACAATAATTTTAATAGGTCATCAAGTTACCACATCATTTCATTTTGCCTTAATGCTTAAATTGAATTCAGCCTTACCCAGCAGCCTGTTTAAATAAAATTAGGCAACTGCACTGATGTATCTAGACATCCAAATATAATCAAACTGGATTTCAAACTTTTAGAGGCTGTAAGACAGGAGTCTTCAAGTTGGCTCTTTTATGACTTGTGGACTTCAACTCCCAGAATTCTGGGAGTTGAAGTCCACAAGTCATAAAAGGGCCAACTTTGAAGACCCCTGCTGGAAGACAACCACTAATACCCAAATCTCCGTAGGTATATTTGTTTTACTATGCTTAAATAGGTCTCCATCAAAGTGATCTTTGCACTGTGTTGGGATCGTAACACCAGGTCTCTTAGCCAGTATCTGGAATTCTGGGAGTTATAATCTTGACATAGTTGAAGAGGAAACAGGCTTAGCTCTTTTTTTTATAGCTTGCTTTGCAGATGAATCATGATGTGGATTGTTAGAAACCAAGTCACTGGGTTTGAAAGATTATGCTTTATGTCTGTCCTTTTCTATGAACAAAAACCTGTTATTTTCCCATAAACTATCAAAGTATGATACAATGTGTAAATGCATCACGAAATCCGGCTGCTGTAACTGCATTTTTTTACTACTCAGATCACAGCAATTTGTAGCTTAAACAGGTGGTGGTCTTATTATTTCTTATTTACAGGTGCTATCTCACCTTTTCTCAGAGAAGCTCAAATTCCATGAAGACTTCCATTTTTATCTCCACAGCAAATTTTTGTGGGGTGGGCCAGTTTAAATGTTTCATAGTCTTGTATCTTACTCAGGGTCTCACTTGGCAACTTTAAGATGTGTAGACCCAGACATTCTGGGAGTTGAAGTCCACATATCTTAAAGGTTGAGAAACATTGCCTTCACTATTAATGGTTGTGTAACAATTTGTATTCAAGAGGGAAAGAAGACTTGGGGAGAATGTGGGACCTCATAATTATACATTTTGTTAGTTGACAAATTCAGGCGTACCATGAAAATTACAAAATCAACTGAAACAGTTCAAATGAGCAAAAGAGTATTTTAATGTTCGAAAACAAGTTGCTCAATGTGAATCTCAGCCATGATTTTTCTTCATGTACAACTCATAGTTTGTATTTTTGTGGTGTTATTTAACCTAAAGGATGGAGATGAAGTGATGGCTTCTTCAAGTGGTCTGGACCTTGAGTTGCAGTTAAGCACAGCGAAATGATCACAAGCTCTTCGTATAAGCAGTTTTGTGTTACCCTGGGTAAAACTGCTTGATGGTACAGAATATGAAGCTCCTAAAGTATGTCCTTGTGTTTCTAAAAATTTAATTGATTTTTGTCTCCTCTGCTGTAACCTTTGGAAAGAACTTGTCAAACTCCAGATACATCTTCTTGTTTACCAACAAGATTCCTTAATCAAGGATCTTCGGGTTCAGTTTTGATATCTGGTGGAACACCAAGTCTTATGATCCATTCTCGTCTTAGGATAAATCAGCAGAGAGATTGATCTTCTATTCTTTCATATTTCTGAAATTCTGGTTTTAATTCTGTCTAGTACAGATTTCTCCAAGCTAAAGCCCTCCAGATTGGCTCATTTTTTATTTTTAATCCACTACTGCCTAGCATCTCCAATGAGTATCCTAAAGTTTGGGGAAATGAATCCTACCTAAGATTTTTGATCTTCCAAAAGGTGATGGCAGGATCATAAACAAATCTTGATGATGCATGCCTGATCCATGTCAATGTTCAGTTAGATGGAACAATTTTTTGACTGTATAACTAAAAAAGTTTTACTATTTTTTGAATGCTGGAAAGCGTATGATCTAGCCTATAAAGCATACTATTTTAATAAATATGATCTTTTTAAAAAGTATAATTGCCTTTATGTCTCTGCTGCTCAGGACTCATGGAAAGAAGGCCAACCTGGAATTCCAAGAACATCATCATCTCTATGAATTTCCAGTTGGATGACATGACCATTCAGATGCTCGTTTGCCTGAATAGCACTATAAGGTCAGCAGATTATGAGGTATTTGCACAGTATGCTACCTAACAATTAATTCAATTATTTGCTTCATGTCATATTGAACCATAACATATGGTCTGGTTTTATACAGATTTGGTTAAACAGTATTGCTTGATTTGTGGCTCACTGTGTCATGTACACAGTGAAACAGGAATTGGTTATCCACTGTTTGATTGTACAGCTCCAGCTGTCACTTTGGAATCTTAGAAAATCCACACTATGTGATAGAAGTAGGCCATTTTTTTAAAATTCTGCCATTAGGAACTGGGCTGCAATCTCTACCATTCCCAATTAGTATGATTTTGGAACTGTTTATGATCTGCATTCTTAACATATTTTAATTGTATTTTTTTATATTGCTAAGAGTCTGATTCAGATTGTGGTGGGAGAGAAATTAATATTTGAAGGTTGATGCAAGTAGTTTCCATACATTTGTATTTGCTGCTAATTGTTTAAGCAAAAGTAACATTTGTATCAAACCATATACTGTGTCTTATCACTATTCCTGTGTATGGGGAAAACATATTGCTCCTTGGATCACAGTTTACCTATATGCTATCAGGTGGGTGTCAAATCATATAATTTTCTCCATAACAGTTCGTGCCCAACCTGATTTATAGGTGTTCCAGTAGTTCACCCCTTGCTGTTGTAACAGTCACTCCATCTTTTGCACTGATCATCATCATCTTTTTCTTTCCACCACCCTTAGCATTATAGAGAGCTACGTCAAAATATCTTTTCAGAGGCCTTTAAGGCTGGCTGCAATACTGAGTGATAATCTCAGTGAATATTTTAACAACTTATTCCTTTGTTATTAATGGTTGATCTTAAAAGACAGAAGTTATCTGCCACTTTGACATCTTCATTGTGAATTCTAAGGTTGGTTGTCATTTTTTGTAATATTTTAGTCCCATGATTTTTCATTATACTTCTTCACCTAAGCTATTTTATAGGTAAGGAACATTGGAGTAAAATGCTGATTGCATTTTTTTAAACTAGCAGTTTTTAAACCGCAGTAAACTCAGTTTACTTGCAGTTTTGAACTACTGGACTCAGAGACCTTTAGAAATTTGTTGCTGAGCATTGAGCGATCTAATATAGATCACAAACTACTCTCTGTTGATTCTATATGAGCATCCTAATGGTTGTAGGGGAAGTGTTCTGTATTTGTTTTCATTGTAAAAATGGACAGTCTCAAAGGTGCTTTTCAAAAGGCAACTGGACTTTTGTTGTTGTTGAAAATGTTTTGCTTTTCATCCAAGAAGCTTCTTCAGTTCTTCTCAGTAAGATAATTGATTTTCAGTTCTTTGGGACAGGGCATACATAGAACCAGAAAGCTGGCCAATTCACCGTGCCTTTTAATGCAAATTAAATTCACATGTGAATATTCACTGATAAGTAACTATATTCTGAACACATCTAGCAGTTGTCCAGTTGAAGGACTGATCACTTTCAAGTTTTTCTTGTGTGCATTAGACTACGGTCAAAAGGGAAGAAGCAGAACAAGATTAGAAAGAAAGTCAAGGCTATTTTAGTAAGCTATATTGTTAATTATGAAAATGCTACATATAACCTATTCTTTCAAAGGCACACATTACAGCAGTGGTGGTGAACCTATGGCACGGGTGCCAGAGGCGGCACTCGGAGCCCTCTCTGTGGGCACTCGTGCCGTTGCCCAAGCCTTGCCTCCGCCCACAACACCCTCACCAGCAGCCCCCCTGGAGGAGAGTCATCCCCGACGTGGACCACGCGGAGCATTGCAACCAAGGACATGGCAGCCAGGCAGCGTAGACAAGACTCTGCCTTCATGCCCCAATATGCACAGTTGATGCTGTGAGACGCGGGCAGAGCTGCCATGGCGCTGCTGGGCTGCCTGGGTGATCTGTGGCGGGCCCTGGAGGTGGTGAATGGCCCTGCGGGCAGGCGGAGCAGGAGCGGGGCAGGGAGTGGAGCGGGGGCGGGGCCAGTTTTGGGGCACTCGGTCTCTAAAAGATTCGCCATCACTGCATTACTTCTCATTCCATTACTTCTCAAAGTCAAGAGACAAGTACTGGTTATTGATGCTTACAGCCAAGATGTTGAGGCAACAAAGGTAATGGTTAGGATTCAGTATGGTTCCCACTTAGTTATTTATGAACAGAACTTTGTTAAACCATTCTGATACAGCTGCTGATACACACAAAAGGCGCAATAAAAGAAATATTGCTATATCTGAAACCATGTAAAACCCGAAGGCATTAAAATTTATTAAATGATGCAATAACTGAATTCTTTATTTACAATAGCATTATTTAACATCAAATAAGCAAATAGCATCAGCAAAGCAATATTAACTTGCATAAATGTATTTAAAATTTCTCTGAATATATCTACCTTTGCATAAACTGCTCACACTAAAAATACAAACATCAATGCAGGTGAACAAAGTGATGTTCAAAGTTAACTCGGTCTTGAAAATAAGTCACAACCTGAAAACACTGTAAGCTTTCTCCTGAAGAATCATAGTTTATATATTGCTTAGTTTTACCCTTGTATAATCTTTTCATATACACACACTCATACACATCTCAGATGTAACTTCATGAGGAACTGTACAAATAAAACTCACGAATGATCAAAAGGAAAAAAAGTCAATGTTTGAAGTAATGTGTCCATCATCTCTACTCAACGACTGAAAGCTAAGTGATGATGCGCTTATTCCAAAATTGTACACAATTCACTATACAAATATAATACATCAGACAGCTATGTAGGAATATACAAGACTTAAAAACAGATCTAAGGCATTATGCTAGATTTTAGCATTTTGAGGTTCTTGCACGTAGCTTTACCTGTAGTAAGAAACTTAAAAGATTTTGTTTTAGTCTACAAAGAAACACCAGGGAGAAAAAATCTAATTAAAAACCAAAGCCACTACAGTAATTTTCTTTTGTGCAGAGAATGCTTTTGCTCTTAGGCAGCAATACTACCATACAAATACTAGAAAACTTTAAAGTCACACCAACAATTAATGGCTTAAATTGCATTTCAAAACTGATTGTGTATCTTTGGGTTTTGCAAGAAGAGCTGAATCATCTTTTCATGTGTTAAGCCCATATGAACTCATTTTTTAAAAATACAGATTAAAAATGCTTTGTATAAATGGCAAAAAGCATTGCTTTTACTTAATACAGACCAATAGAAAGACTGGGAGAGGGGCAATCTTTTAAGTTTCAGAAATATTTGAAATAACTAGTGAAATGTTGAACAAGATGTTTATCAGCTTACCTGGACGTGATTGAATGGTTCTTTGCCCTGTACAATTATCTATATATTTTTCTGACTTAATACATTTTGCTTTTTCACACTTTTGTATGAGAGAACGCTGATGTTCCAACATAAATCCAATTACTATCTTTATTTACTGAATAAGAAATACTGTTTATAAAAAAATTAAAACTGACTTGGCATCATTACTGTTGTACCTAGTGGGAATGTTATACTCAGAAAATGCTTAAACCCACTGCCTTTAATTAATTTAAATAAAAGGGAAAATCAGCGATTCCCTGGACATGGCTGATAATACAAACACTCCATTTTATACTCAGTTGAAATCATTACTAGATGGTACTAATATAATTTGAATTGGACCTTATTTAAAATAATTTATTTGTCTACTAATCTACTAAAGCATGATTGAAAAATAATCTTTTCAAAACTATTTTTATCATCCAATTTAGAATGGTTTAATCCCTTTAATCTTCAAATCAGGTGTGTGTATTTGTTTTTATATGTATTGATATTCTCTCAATAATTTAAGAGTTCAGGGCTGACATTTTATTATTTCCACCAGATGGCTCAGATGTTTGAATAACTTTTTGAGTCTGGTGACTCGTGAGAAATACGGTTTTCATCTCGAGGGGTAAGAAAGCCACTCAACAGGAAACAGATGATTTGAAATGCATTCTATATATTCTATAACATGTTCTTTTCAGCACTCTATGAAAGTCAATTTATTTGTATATTTTAACTCTCACTGCAAGCAAACACCAGGTTTCAAGATAACAAGCGTTCTATTTCCAAGGACATGAATATAGACAGAGAAAATATAAAATGCATTGCACTTTTAAGTAACATCTAAAATTTGAGTTACAAGTACGAAAGTGTAGATTAAGTGGAACAGAAGAACAGGAGGTCAAAAGCAATCAGTTTCCTGATATTTCAAGTCCTCAAAAACTGATGTCAGCTTATATTAAAAGAATACTCAGACCACAGCCGGTAAGAGTATAACCACTTTCAGCAGTGGTCTGCTGAACAACAGTTTTGATAAGATTATTACGAAAAAATATAAACATACAAAAAAGTCAAGAATTGGCTCCTACACTGGCTGCATATAAGGTTAGATAAATGACTTATGAGCAGAATTGCATTTAGAAAAAGAAGTCTCAAGCTTACAAATTAGGTCTAATCAAGGCATTGTAATCCTTTACAAAACACATTTTTGTCCCCAGAAGACACGCACAGTTATGAAGATATCTAATTTAATACTGAAGTACCTCATTTGGAAATCAACTCCACAACATGTATACCTCACAAAATTATACAGTTAAAACACTAAAATCTTCAACTTAAATTATTGCTTGTTTACATAGAAACTGTTTTGTATGTACCTTACAAAACTTCCTCAAAGTCCACACTTCTTCAAAATAATTGAACACATGA